TTTTTGTTTTTTTTTTTGGTACCAAGGATCGAACTCCAGTCCTTGCACTTGCGCAGCAGGCGGCAAAACCACTGAGCTAAATCCCCGGCCCAACAATTTGTATTTTTTTTACATGTCAGTATAATGAAAGACAAAGTAAGTCTAAGGAACTATGCCTATATTTAAAGGGAACTAAAAAGACTTAACTAAATGTAATACATTGCATAATCCTAGATTAGGTCTTTGCCCAAGAAAGAAAACTGTTTGTCTGTTTTGTTTTGGTACTGGGTATTGAACTCTGGACCTTGTGCTTGCGAAGCAGACAGCAGAACCACTGAGCTAAACCCCCGGCCCCAAATGAAACTGTTATAGAGGACATCATGAGACAATTGGCAAATTCTGGACTGGCAAATATGGGCTGTAGATTGGATCACAATATTATACCAGTTTTCCTGATGTTGAAAATTGTTCTATATTGTGTAAAATGTTGTTCTTGTCCTTAGCAAACTCACACTGATGAGTGTGGGGGTAAAGGGATACTTACTTTCAAATGTTCCCGAAACCATATTAATGTGCATTTGTAGAAAAATAGTGATAGGGCTGGGGATTTAGCTCAGTGGTTCTTGCGCCTGCTGCGCAAGCGCAAGGTCCCGAGTTCGATCCCTGGTACCGAAAAAAAAAAAAGAAAGAGAAGGACTTGCTGGTGAAGTCTGGTTCTTGACAGGCAGGTGCACACAGCGCCCCAGACTGCGGCCCCGATGCGGCTCTGCCGGTCACGCCCACGGCAGACACCTCCTCGGGACTCTCCGTCTCAGAGCCGCTAGAGGACTCTGTGGGTGGCTTACCCTAAAGCCGTCCTGGGTTGACTCAAGAGGTCGAATGAATCCAGGTGTTATGCTTTGTGTCTCCATGTCCCCCTAAAGCCTCATGCGCATGAGGTGAGGGTTTCTTTTTCAGAGGCAGCTGAATCTGGAATGTGTGATGCTGGGGTTAAGGGCGCGTGGTTACTAGACCACTACGTGCGAGTGATGAGCTTGGCACCGCCCTCATCCCGGTGGTCTGGATGGGATAAAAGGAGCAGGGGCCGGGGATTTAGCTCAGTGGCACCGTGCTTGCGTCATAAGTGCAAGGTCCTGAGTTCGATCCCCGGAACCAAAAAAGAAAAGATAAAAGAGGGGCCGGGGATGTAGCTCAGTGGTTCCGTCGCCTGCTTCGCAAGCACAAGGTCCCGAGTTTGATCCCTGGTACCAAACAAAAAAAAAGAAAAAGAAAAAGATAAAAGGAGCAGAAAGACACTGTTAAACTCTCTTGCTGCCACCTGCCTTGTGGGCGCCATGTTGTTTCTCCTCTGTGACGCCCACTTCCCTTCTTTGCCTTGGAACCAGCTGATTATGGACTGAAACCTCTACAAACTGTACACCAAATAAGCCCCTTCCCCTTCAACTTTGGATGTCAGGTATTTTGTCTCAGCAATGAGAGAAAGGTACCTAACACACCAGGCATTATGGTGCATGCCTGTAATCCCAGCACCTCTGGGAGGCCATGACAGGAGCATCATGAGTTCAATCCCACCTTGGGCAACTTGAGTAGATGAACATTCAAGACAACAAATTTCCTTTTGTGATTTTATGTATTCCAATTTTATATTCTACTGGCATTTCCTCCTTATATCCCAGGATCCTTTGCAGGAGATGGGAGGCAGAGATGGATGGAGCAAAACCTACCCAAATCTAGTGTTTACTGCAGATAATCCAGACTGCAAAATTGAGAATTTTAGATTTAGAGTAGAGAAGAATTTGGAATAGATTGTGTTCTTTTTTTTTTTAATTTTATTTTTTAAAAGACAGGTTCTCACTGCATAGTCCGGGCTGCCCTTGAACTCACTATGTAGCCCAGGCTGGTCTTGAATTTCTGCTCCTCCTGCTCTCACCTCCCAGTGCTGGGATCACAGCCGTTCGACGCCACACCCAGTTTGGCCCGTGCTCCTTCAGCATTCATAAGGACAGTCATGCATTCTTCTTGGAAGGCAAAGATTTCTCCCAAACACAGCCCAGACTCTTACTCATTTCCCAGAAGGGGAAAAGGAAATCCTAACAAGGGCCAAAGTAGGACCCAAAAGTCCCCTGAGTTCCCGCTGTCTAGGGGAGTAGTTTCCAATGGTGACCAGCAGCAGGTCCTCTGAGAGCATCTGCACCGACCTGGCAAATTAGGCTTCCTCTCCTGGGAAGAGGACCAGGCCAATGCCTCCTCACCCCACACCCCTTTCTAGGTCCTGCCCCTCCCGGGGCTCACGGGCAGCCACCTTGCAGTTCCCATCTATGCAAAGGAGAAACCAGACCCACAACAAGGCTGGGGCCGCCCTGGGACCCAAGAGCCAAGCCAGGTCTCCCCTCCTGTCACCTGCCCTCCCGCCACACTGTCCTACTTTCCCCACTTCCCTAGGGCCCGTTAGGGACAGAAGGCCCGCCCTCGTCCCCCCAAGGTTCCTCTGCTCCCTCCTCCCCATCACTAGGGTGTCCAGGACATTGTGTGACTCAGGAAGCAGCTCAGACCTGAGGCTTGTAGCAGGCCGAGCAGGAGGAGGAAGGGGCAGCGGGAGCAGCGGAGCTGGCCCTGCCTCAGGGAGAGCTCTGAGGGTCCCTTCCTGAGGAGGGAGAGGGGACCTGGGCTTGGGGCAGGGGCTCTGGAATGCAGCCCCCTTCACTGCTGCTGCTGCTGCTGCTGCCGCTGTGTTTCCCACTTGCCACGAAGGGAGGTGAGTCGGGTGGGAGAGGCAGGGCCATCTCCCCCGGGAGGAGTGCAGGGGTGGGGGACAGGGCCTAGTCCCAGGCTCTGAGGGCTCACCGCAGGAAGGGATTCTTCTTCCCCTGATGGGAACAACCTACAGGGAGAGCTGGCTGCACAGGGGCTGCTCAGAGCAATGCAGGGGCCTGGGGCCGGGGCTGGTGATGGCTGGGGGACAGATGAGAGGGTGCCCGCTGCCAGGGAAAGCCACTTGGCCTGGAGCTAAGGGCCAGAGGCTTCTCGCAGCCAGGCTGAGAAGGGAGGGAACAGAACCATCGCCTGCTAGGGAAGAGGCCAGAGGGGAGCGGGAGATGGAGATGGGCAACGTCCAGGGTCCACCACCTCGCCTTCCGGCCCAGCTGTCCCCACCCCAGTGGCTCAGCCTGAGCCCTTCCGGGAGGAAATCCCTGCACGTCTCAGCCATTCACCTCCTGGGAGCCCTGGGGCCCCCTCCCGGCTCCCTGCTGTCTTGCTTCCGGGGGATGGAGCTGCAGGCTGGACTTCAGAGCCCAGAGAATAAACAGGAAAGGGGGTGGGGAGGACTGAGAGGAGACTGAGCGGCCTGGGACACTGGGGCCACATGGGGACTGGGACGGGGTGGTCTGCAGCACGAGCGAGCGTGGGGCGAGAGGCGGCCGGGAGGAAAGCCAGGCACAGCCCCCCCCCCCCGCCTCCATCCGCCCTCCCTCTGCACCCCAGGGCTGCTGTGCACAAGCTTCCCGGGACCCTGTGCCCACGGTGGCACCTGCCTGAGCCTGTCTCAGGGGCGCGGGACTTGCCAGTGAGTGTACCTTGTGGGACACCAGAGAGAAAGGGGCGAAGTGAGGGCGTGGGCAGCAAAGGGAAGGGAAGTGGAGGAAGGCAAGGGAGGGAGGTGGGAGAACAGGGCGAGAGGGGCCGGCACTGTGGGTTTCCTGTCTCCCTGCCCAGGTGCACCCCTGGCTTCCTGGGGGAGACGTGCCAGTTTCCTGACCCCTGCAGGGACGCCCAGCTCTGCCAGAACGGGGGCAGCTGCCACGCCCTTCTCCCCACAGCCCCAAGCTCCCCCGGCGCCCCTTCTCCACTGGCCCCCAGCTTCTTGTGCACCTGCACCTCTGGCTTCACCGGCAAGAGGTGCCAGACCCAGCTGGAAGACCTCTGTCCTCCCTTCTTCTGTGCCAAAAAGGGCCGCTGCCACCTGGAGGCCCCAGACCGCCCACAGTGCTCCTGCATGCCCGGGTGGACAGGTGAGAGCTGGGCTCTGGGCGGAAGAGGGCGAACTGGCCCCGGAGAGCCCATGAGCTTCTGAAGACAAGGCCTTGCAACTCCACGCCCACTCGAGACTGGCAGGCACCAGCGTGCTCTGGCTAAGACATCGAAATAGCTCCTCACTAGCTCAGATATTTCCACGCTACAGCTGCCGTGAGCCCCTTAGGGCTCCATCCTGCTGTCTCTCCCGGACCCTCCCAGTTCCCCTGGACTCAGCAGCTCTGGGGTTCTTTTCTTCCCAGGGACCTCCAGGCTCTGCATTCTGAGCACCTGGAGAGGCTGCAGTGGTGGGAGGGGTGAGCTGAATGGGTCAGACCGAGAGGGACCTGACTGGCACGCTTACTGCCTGAGAGCAGGTTCGGGGCGGCCAGCAGATCCGAATGTCACTCTGCCGCTGACTGCAGTGGCTATGTGACCTTGCACGGATATGTAAGTTGCCTGGGCCCTCAGTTATCAGCCGACAGCGGGTCGACCAGAAGGTTGTTGAGAGGATGAGGGAAGGGTGCTCGGGAAGTGCTTACTTAGCTCAGCACCTGGCACAAGGCCCGTGCAGGGCTCAGCCGTTACCATCAGTGCCCATGGCTATGAAGTGAGTGTCCTTGTCATTAACCAGGTCCTTACACCACACAGAGATCAGGAATTCAGACCCTGAGGAGAAGCAGGCCCACTCTCCCAAGGGCCTGCAACCGTGGCACAGCCAGGTGCCCACCTCATGTCCTGCCTTCGGATGCCAGAAGTTGCGACTATTCTGGGTTCCCCGGCAGCGTCAGTGTGCAATGCTCCCAGCGAGGTGCACGTCTCCCTTTCAGCTTGGACAATAGCTGCTGCACACACAGCCCTCTCCGTGCACGGCAAAACTCAGGCGGCGGCGGGGGCGGAACAGGGCAGAGACAGGATGGGCAAAAGGGAGGGAGAGGTCAGAGTCAGAGATCATCCAGGGGGAGAGCTGAGCAATCAGGTGGGCTGGGGCATGTGCGGTGCTCCAGGGAGCCCCTCCGCCCTCCGCCCTCCACTACAGGAGACCACTGCCAGCTCCGGGACTTCTGCTCAGCCAACCCTTGCGCCAACGGGGGCGTGTGTCTGACCACCTACCCCCAGATCCAGTGCCGCTGCCCACTGGGCTTCGAGGGTCACACCTGCGAACGGGACGTCAACGAGTGCTTCCTGGACCCGGGCCCCTGCCCCCCAGGCACCTCCTGCCATAACAGCCTGGGCTCCTTCCACTGTCTCTGCCCTGAGGGCCCCGAGGGCTCACACTGCGAGCTCCGGAAAGGACCCTGCCCCACGGCGGGTTGTCAGAATGGGGGCACCTGCCAGCCGGTGCCAGGGGCAGGCGTCAGCTTCCACCTTTGCCTCTGCCTCCCAGGTGCGTCCTCGGGTTCCCTGCAGCGCCCTCTCTGGGCAGGGCGGGTGGTCTCCTTTGGGTGCCCCACCCCACACTGATCTTGTGACTCTCAGGTTTCACGGGCCCAGACTGCGAAGTGAATGCAGATGACTGTGTCAAGCACCAGTGCCAGCATGGGGGTGCCTGCCAGGATGCGCTGGGCGCCTACGCCTGCCTCTGCCCAGAGCCCTGGACAGGTGCGTTGCTGAAGGCAAATGCGCAGCCACAGCGGCCTGGAGAGTCGGCCCTGACCTCTCTCCTCCCAGGCTCCGGGCTCCGGCCTTGTCTCCTTCCCAATCCCTCCAGGCTGGGACTGCTCCGAAGATGTGAATGAATGCGAGGTCCAGGGGCCGCCCCGCTGCAGAAATGGGGGCACCTGCCAGAACTCGGCCGGCGGCTTCCACTGCGTGTGCCTGAGTGGCTGGGGTGGCTCAAGCTGCGAGGAGAACCTGGACGACTGTGTCCATGCCACCTGCACTCCGGGCTCTACCTGCATGGACCATGTGGGCTCCTTTGCCTGCCTCTGCCCTCCTGGGCGCACAGGTGTGGGGCAGCAGGAACCAGGAGGCGGGAGGCGCCGATGGGCGTGGAGCGGGAGACTCCAGCCTCACCCGTCCCCGCCGCCCCAGGCCTCCTGTGCCACCTGGAGGACATGTGCCTGAGCCAGCCGTGCCACGGGGAAGCCCAGTGCAGCACCAACCCCCTGACGGGCTCCACCCTGTGCCTGTGCCAGCCCGGCTACTCGGGGCCCACCTGCCACCAGGACCTGGACGAGTGCCAGATGGGTGAGGCCCCCAGACAGCGCCTCCCTGAGCCGGACAGGCCCTGCAGGCAACACCTGAAAGGGCGGATGGCTCTTCAGATGAAAAACGCTGTCTCTCTCGCTTTCCCTAAATTTGTCCCGATTAGACCTCCTCCCAACACGCCCCACGCCCAGTGCGCAGCCGCCGGCCCGGGCCTTGTCCCTCAGAGTCGGCAGGCACCGGAAAGGCGCAGCCACCCCTCCCGCCCGTGGCCCCTCCGTCACAGTCCTTCCCTCTCCTTGCGTCCCCTGTGGACTCCCGGCTCGCTCTCCTTGCAGCCCAGCAGGGCCCCAGCCCCTGTGAGCACGGTGGCTCCTGCCTCAACACCCCCGGCTCCTTCAACTGCCTCTGTCCCCCCGGCTACACGGGCTCCCGCTGCGAAGCCGACCACGATGAGTGCCTGTCCCAGCCCTGCCGCCCGGGCAGCACCTGCCTGGACCTGCTGGCCACCTTCCACTGCCTCTGCCCACCAGGTACGGCTGGACGGGGCCCGGGCAGGTGGAGGGGACAGAGGGCTGATCCTGAGCCCACTAGGAATCGTCAGCAAGTGGGGTCAGGCCCCACCAGCTGCTCCTGCTCTCGGGACTTCCGGGTGACCAGTGGCTTCCCGATCTCCAGAGAGCTGCCGTGCACAGCGGGAGGTTGTGCTCTGCTCGGCCCTGGGAGCCCCCATTCGTCTCACGGGCATCGTAGGGCGCACAGCTTGAGCTCCTGTGCACAGCGCAGCCCAGGAAGTTTCCCCTGCTCACACACTTCCCCTGCAGAGACAGAGACACCCCCTTAAAACCCTGAAAATTCTAAACTGTTTGCTTCAGTTTGCTGCGGTAGGAAAGGAATGCTGGGAGGCTGCACCCATCTGCAGAATGGGGCGGGGGGGGGGTCTTCCTAGGAAAAGAACAAAGAGCCAGAGCCAGTATCAGGGAGCTGCATAAAACTAGAACAATAATAGCCAGCGCTGTGCCAGGCACTATCTGACCATCGGGAATGCATCCTCTCAGCTTCTCCTCGATAACCCTCTGAGGTCAGCACTGAGACTAGATCCATTTTATAGATGAAGAAACTAAGACACAAGAGGTCAAGTGGCTTGTCCCAGGTCACATGGCTCAGGCCACCACAGATGAGCATAGAGGAGTAGAGAAAACTGCTCAGTAATCTAAGGGACATGGGGGGCAGGCAGGGCATGGGTGGCAGCCGAGGTCTGGAGGCCGATCTGACCCGAGCTCGGAGCGAGACCATGGAGCTCAGGATGACCCCAGAGCACTGGGAAAATGTGGGAGCCACACAGGGTCCCAAGCCCTTCTCAGCCCCACGCTGGGATCCGGGCCTGCCTGGCCTGCAGGGCCACATGAGCACAGCTCAGCCTGCGGGCAGACACTGCCATCTCCTTTGTCCCTGGAGGACCTCGGGCTGAGCAGCTGCCCAGCAGCCCCACCCTGTACACCCAGCGGGGCTTCCTCACCACTGCCACCCCTGTGTGGGTCCTGGCAGGGCCCCTGCCCCCTGGGCTTCGTACCCAAAGGAGGCAGAGCCACAGCCCACAGGGCAGCAGCCCCTAGGGCTCCTCTAGCTCAAGCCCCAGGCCACCAGCACCAGGAGGGGTGGCTTGGTGAGGGCCCCCGAAGAGGAGGAGTGGCCAAGGCAGAGCGCTGGCTGAACCCCACCGCTTCCTCAGGGTTCGAAGGGCAGCTCTGCGAGGTGCAGACCAACGAGTGTGCCTCAGCGCCTTGCCTGAACCGAGCTGACTGCCTCGACCTGCTCAACGGCTTCCTGTGCGTCTGCCTGCAGGGTGGGCGCAGATTCCAGCTGGCCAGCCAGCCACTGACTGGCCCGCTGCAGAGCGCAGCCCCGGAGCTGACTCTAGCCTGGCCCTGAGTCCCCACCTCCCCAGCTCCTCTTCTGTCCCATCCCAAATCTGCCCACGCTTGCTCCCCGACCCCAGTCACTGTCCCACCAAGTCCCCTGCCCCATCTCCCTCCTTTCTGCCCTCCGCCCACCCTCCCTGCATGCAGGTGCCCCTGGCACTGCCACCCTGGACACAGGCAAAGCTGGCCACAAGTCCTTCTTATTCCAGCTCAGCCGGGAACCCTTCTAGACTACGCTGCCTGAGTATCCAGTCCAACACAGGCACTGGGCCTGTGCTTTGGAAATTGTCTCATGCCATTTAACCCTTCCAGTGGGAACGAGAGACGGGTTCTTTTTTCCCCGTGCTAAGGCTGGAAGCCAAGGGCACCCACTTGGCAAGTGCTCTGCTGCTGAGCTGCACCCCAGCCCGTGCTGCACTGTGGTTTCCTGGGCGAGCCGCACCACTGCTGGCACTGTGCTCCTTCCTCTGTGTCACCCTCCTGGGCTCCGGGCCCAGATGCCCCTGGGAAGCCCCACAGGTTCAGCTCTCCGGGCTTCCTTGTGTCCCCTCGGTGACCACCGCCCCCTGCCCCCAGGATACATGGGCGCCCTGTGTGAGGAGGACGTGGACGAGTGTGCCAGCTCCCCCTGCACCAACGGTGGGCAGTGCCAGGACCAGCCCGGAGCCTTCCTCTGCGAGTGCCTCCCAGGTGAGTGGGGCTCAGACGCCAGCAGGCAGGGAGGACGGGGACCACTCGGTGCCGGCCCTGACCTCCCGGCGCCACAGGCTTTGAAGGGCCGCACTGTGAGGCAGAAGTGGATGAGTGTCTGAGTGCGCCGTGCGCCCCTGGAGCCAGCTGCCTGGACCGCCCAGGAGCCTTCTCTTGCCTCTGCCCCTCTGGCTTCACAGGTCAGTACGGGAGGCTTTAGAAAGAACGGGGGCCGGGCGTGGTGGCGCACACCTGTGATCCCAGCATGTGGGAGGCTGAGGCAGGAGGATCACTGTGAGTTCCAGGCCAGCCTGGGCCACAGAGCGAGTTCAAGGCCAGCCCAGACTACTTAGCGAGACCCTGTCTCAGAAGAAAAAAAAAGGAAACAAGGAGGAAGGATGTGTGAATCAATTCGGGGTGGGGCAGAGGTCACTGGTGAGTGTTTTATGATTGGCATGGTCACCCCTAAAGTGAGCAAGCACAAATCCTGCACACATACACAGCCTCGGAGGCGAGTGTAGCTGTTACCCCAGAACCCACAGGGGCCCGACGTGAATAGGTGTGGGAAGACCACACAAGACCGGCCAGTCCAGACTGCAGATGGAGGAGGTGATGGCGGAGCCGGGCCTCGAGAGATGAGTAGGAGTTGTCAAAATTCATGCCAGACAGTGTGTGAGCTGCAGATGACAGCAGGTGCAAAGGGAAGGAAAGCACGCTTCATTTAAGGACCCATAGGAGACTCAGCTCACAGTGCCACAAGATGAGAAAGAGCAGTTGTGGGGAAGACAAGTCATACAGGGCCCCGGGGGACAGGAACTCGGTTTCCTGAGGACAGTAAGGACCCACTGAAGGACAGGCACGTGGGGAGCGAGCGAGCAGGGCATCAGGAGCGGAGCTCGGCCCCCGAGGACAGGAAGGCTCAGGTCCTCTGGCTCTTCTCCCTCCCAGGCCAGCTCTGCGAGGTGCCCCTCTGCGCCCCCACCCTGTGCCAGCCTGGGCAGAAATGCCAAGGACAGGACAAGGGGGTCCACTGCCTCTGCCCAGACGGAAGCCCTGGCTGCGGCCCCGCTGAGGACAACTGCACCTGCCGCCATGGACACTGCCACGGGTAACATCGCCAGGCGCCCGTCTGTGCTGCCTCTGGGTCCCTGGCTGGGGGAAGCAGCAGTGCACAGTGCAGGTCTGTGGCGGTGGGAGGAGGAGATGGCGAAGTTCTGGGGCAAGCTCGGCCGTGGTGCTCTCACAGGAGGGGGAGTGTGCAGGACAGGGACAGAGAGGAAGGAAGAGCACAAATGCAGGGCCACCCAGCCACTCACTGGACAGATATCCCGACACCTGCTTGGGGACACTGACTCGGGCACGGGGAAGCAGCGCAGAGCAGAGCAGACCAGGTGACCGCTGTCATGGAGCATCCCCTCTAATGCGGAAGGGCGAGCCATGAGCAAGTCGTGGAAGGAGATATGCACGGAGGAATGGGGAGAAGGAGCAATCCCATGCACAGTCACTGAAGGAAGAGCCCCGAGTCTCAGGACCGGGCAGAGAAGCCCGGGGGTCTGGCTGATGGAAGGAAGAGGAAACCCTCCCTCCCCTGTCTCTGCTCACCAGGTCCTCGTGTGTGTGTGACGTGGGGTGGACAGGCCCGGAGTGCCAGGAGGAGCTGGGGGGCTGCATCTCCACACCCTGTGTCCACGGGGCCACCTGCTACCCTCAGCCCTCTGGCTACAACTGCACCTGCCCGGCAGGCTACACAGGTGAGGCCCTACCCTAACCACACAGCTGGGCGGTCAGCCCCTAAGTCAAGGGCAAGGTTCATGGCCAGGGCCGTGCCACTTGATCCCCATCAGGGATAAAGAGGCCTGGGCTGCACAGGACACCGCGTGGGTGGGGGGGTAGATGGGACGTTAGGGGCAGGGATGAGGAAGGGAGGGAAGGGAGAGGAGGAAGGTGGAGGACAGGAGGGGACCCCTGTCCGTGCCCTGCTCCCCCAGGGCCCACCTGCAGTGAAGAGGTGACAGCCTGCCTCTCGGGGCCCTGTCTGCATGGCGGCTCCTGCAGCCCCAGCCCTGGGGGCTACTCCTGCACCTGCCCCCCGACCCACACAGGGCCCCAGTGCCAAACCGCTACCGACCCCTGTGCGTCTGGTGAGTGGCCCCGCGGTGGCAGCGGCAGCAGCGGGCGGCGGGGGGAGATGCGGGTCAGTGTGGCTGCACTTGTGCCGTGCTTCTTACAACAATGAGCCGCACGGCAGTGAACCGAGCCGCAGTCTCCCGTGTAGTGTGGCTGAGCTCACGGCCTAGCACCCAGCCCTCACAGCTGCCTCTCTGCAGCCCCGTGCCTCAGCGGGGGCACCTGTGTTAGCAGGCCCGGCGCCTTCTCCTGCCTCTGCGCCTCTGGCTTCCGGGGCCCACGCTGTGAGGGGAAGGTCCACCCGAGCTGCGCAGACAGGTGGGCAGCGTGGGAGACCTGGAGGGAGGGAGGGAGGGAGGGAACCGAGCTGCCTCCCTCCCGGCCCTCCAGGGCTTGGCTCCCCAGCACCCCACAGCCGCCCCATGCCCAGAACTCCTCCCTGTCCCCCTGTCTGTCTGGCCCAGTCCCTGCAGGAACAGGGCCACCTGCCAAGACGGCCCTCAAGGTCCCCACTGCCTCTGCCCCAAGGGCTACACCGGAGGCCAGTGCCAGGTAAGGGGCGGGGCACAGCCCTAGTAAGAGGGGACCGGACTGGAAGGCGAGCAGCAGGGAAGCTTCGGAAAGACAGCCAGGTGCAGGGAGGGAGGGAGTGACGCAGGCCTAGGAGCTGGGCCTCGCTGGAGTTTTGTTCGGCTTGAGGAAGGAAGGACTGAATGGGTGTCTGGTGCCCGGGCTGCTCGGGAAAGTGGGTCTGGAAGGAAACCAGGGAGGGTCACGGTCACGGCCCGGCCTGCATGAGTGAGTCTTAGAGGTGAGCGATCGTGAGGGGTGGAATGGCAGAGGCCCCTCGGGGCTGGGCTCTGACTCGCTTGTCCCTTCCAACCTGCAGACGCTGGTGGATTTCTGTGCCCAGACGCCCTGCCCACACAACTCCCAGTGCCTCCAGAGCGGGCCCTCCTTCCAGTGCCTGTGCTTCCAGGGCTGGACCGGGCCTCTCTGTAGCATCCCCCTGTCCTCCTGCCAGAAGGCTGCACTGAGCCAAGGTACCAGCCCCAGGGCCAGGAGGGAAGCAGATAAAGAGAAACATGGTCTTCTCGTACCTTGTCCCACACAGCCACATAGCCGTGGGCCACTCTGGCCCACACAGTCACCTCAGCCAAAACAGAACACACAGTTCCATCCCTGGTACCAAAAAAACATGGGCCAGGGATTTAGCCCAGTGGTTCCACCGCCTGTCTCACAAACGCAAGGACTGTAGTTCAATCCCGGGTACCAAAACAAAAAAAAAAAAAAAACGAAGCACACCAGGAAAGGTGGCTCACGCCCTTAATCCCAGCACTCCAGAGGCTGAGGCAGCAGGGTTCCTCCAACTTCAAGGCCATCCTAGGGACCGGTGAGACCCATCTCAAAACAAACAAATAAAAACAAAGAGCAAGTACAGTTATTAATGTCGCAGTTCAACACTCAGGGAACCCTAACACATCCCAGCCCGTTACCATATTCAGCACAACTCAAGCCACCACCACCGAGCCCAGCCAGTGAGGCAGCAGCTCACAGGGACACGACTCAGTAGGGGAGCACGCAGCCAGCCTGGACCACATTTCGCCCAGCTACACTCGGCCCATGTCACCCCACTCGCCTCTTTGAGGCTGCACAGCCCCCTGTCGAAGACGCCGAGACTCAGGTGAGGTCTGGCCAGCAAAGCACTTAGGACCTTGGAAGCCACATGGCCCCACCTGAAGCTTCCCTCGGCTCTTTCTTGCCTAAGGCCCACTTTAAGCCAAGAAAATCCTGTCTCAGTAACTTCTTTTTTTTTTGGTACCGGGGATCGACCTCTGGCCCTTGCGCTTGCGGGGCAGACGCCAGAACCACTGAGCTAAATCCCCAGCTAAGAAAACCATTTCTAACACTGATAAGCTTCAGAAAAGCGATCTCTCCCATACTGTGGCAGAAAAGGTGGGGAGGAGAATCTGACGTGTCCACCTCTTCGGGGCCAGGAGTCACACTCAGGGGCCTCCCTGCTCAGTGTCCGGGGCCCCTGAATGCCCTGAACCCCGCTCGGCTCCATCTCTCCCTGTCTGTCTCTCCCCAGGCATAGAGGTCTCTGCCTTGTGCCGGAACGGAGGCCTCTGCGTGGACGGCAGCTCCTCCCATTTCTGCCGCTGCGCGCCTGGGTTCCGTGGCAGCGTGTGCCAGGACAGCATGGACCCCTGTGAGTCCAGGCCTTGCCAGAACGGGGCCACCTGCACGGCCCAGCCCAATGGGTATCGCTGCCAGGTGAGGGGAGCAGGGGAGGCAGGCTGGGCTAGAGGCCGACACCACAGGAGTGGGGAGGGGCGACCTGGGTGCCTGGTTCTCCTCTTTTTCCTTAACCACGGCTCAGGCCCTCCTACCTCCTCCTGAACACCTCTGCACTCTGTCCTGTCCCCTCCACGCTTTACTCCACTGCCTTCGTCCGGGCCCCAACACCTGACCACGGTCCCATTTGTCCTTCTGTTGGCTCAGCCTTTACCCACCGCCAGCGGACTCTGCCTGCCTAACACCCTTGAGGGACGCCCACCTCTCACAATAGGGCCAGAGCCCTGCGTGACACAGCCCTGCCTGCCTCTGCCTCATCTGTTCCCCCTCCGCCATCCTGCTCCCCACTCTGACCACGGAAAACTGTCCCTGGCATCCACACTAACCCTTGCCTCTCTGACTTGTCCCTGCCAGGGGCCCTGAAGGCAGCTGCCTCAGGAAAATGCCCCCAGCTTCTCTCCCGCAGGGGCGAGGGCCTCTGCTTGGTGGCCCCCATCACTCAGCCGGGGAGGCAGAGCCAGGATTCAAGCCCAAGCAGCCCAACTCCTGGGCTCAGAGCCACAGCTTCTGATAGAAGGCACCGGCACTTCCCAGTCACTCCCTAACTTCATTTATAACTTTCATTACCAACATCTTCACACATGGGGCTGGGGATTTAGCTCAGTGTTTCTGCTGCCTGCCTTGAGAGTACAAAGACCCGAGTTCAATCCCCGGTACCAAAAAAACAAACATTTTCACACACACACACACACACACACACACAAGCAGCACACTGGTCAGGAGAGTCTGGCGCTCATCACCTCTCCCGCTCCCCCCGGGGCTCCTCGGGTGCTCGGTGAGTCTGGCCCAGAAGCCTTCCTCTACCCGCCCTTGCACACTCCCCTTCCTCCTGCAAGAACCCAGTGTTGCTGCAGACCTGTCTGTGGCCCTGTGCCCACTGGGCAGCCCTGAAGCAATCAGAAAGGGGCGAGGAGTCCTGGCTAGCTCTGAGCCCCAGGTCTGCCGCCCACCCGTAACTGTGCGACTTACGCAGGTCACTGCGCCTTTCCGGGACTCTTCCTTATCTGTGACGTGAGGCTCACAGAAGACAGTGCAGGCAGGGACTTGTTAGAGGTTTATAAGGTGAGGCATATCAATCACGCGACTGTGAACCTCACAGAATCAGCAATGAGCTCTGATCTTTCTTGTATTTATTTTGCCTAAAACAGTGCCTGGCACAAAATGGACATTTGGTAGATGCGTATAAACAAATTAAGAATGGGAGCGCTCGAAGGGTGTGCTGGGAAGGGAAGGGGTCCTACCGAGCCGAGCCGAGCAAGCGAGCCGTGTTCGGCAGCGGTGTCCCCCGCTCGCCTGAGCCTGGAGGCCTCCGCCGCTGCCGAGGTCTGTGTGTGAGGCAGAAGGACGAGGCCGCGATGGCGCTGCTGGGGGAAGGGCTGGCCGCCCGGAGCGGGGCTCATCCGCTGGTCCCGTGTGTCCGGCCCCTTTGCCTGCAGTGCGCCCCGCGCTACAGCGGACAGAACTGCTCGGAGGAGCTCAACGCTTGTCAGTCGCAGCCCTGTCACAACCTGGGAACCTGCACCCCGAGGCCCGGAGGCTTCCACTGCGCCTGCCCTCCGGGGTTTGTGGGGCTGCGCTGCGAGGGGGACGTGGACGAGTGTCTGGAGCGGCCCTGCCACCCCACGGGCACGGCGGCCTGCCGCTCGCTGGCCAACGCCTTCCGCTGCGAGTGTCTGCCCGGACGCACAGGTGGGCCGGCGGCGGGCACGCGCGCCTCGGGGCCGGCAGCTCCCTCGCCGAGCGGCTCTCACGGCTCTCCGCCCCGCCAGGCCAGAGATGTGAGGTGCAGATCGACCCCTGCCGCAGCCAGCCTTGCTCGCACGGGGGCTCCTGCGAGGCCACCGCGGGGCCGCCCCCGGGTTTCACCTGCCTCTGCCCCGAGGTGAGCGCTCCCTGCCGGCCGGAAGGCGAGCATGCCCGGGCGGGAGCCCTGCGGGGCAGGGGAGCGGGCGCGGGCAGCCGAGCTGCCCAGGCCGAGTGGGAGGGTCTCAGCGGTCAGGGCCAGGGCTGGACGCGGCGGTGGGAGGAAGGGAATGTTCGGGAACCACGGGTGTCGCCTGAGAGAAAAGCAGAAGCCCCCGAGGTCAGGCTGGGCTGCCCGGGATCAGGTCTAAGTGTCTGGGCATGCGCGCCCCAGGCGGGGAGCTCATCACAGACCCTGTGACGCGTTCACACTTCTATCACTCTAGTCCTAGAACACCCATGAACCTAACCTAAGAATTACAAATAACAACTCCATCTACTTTACGTTCTCTTCCTCTATTCGGTTTTCCCCAGGGAGAAAGGGAAGGCACAATCCTATCTATTGCCAAGGATTAAAATAGTGATAGAAGAGTTCAGCTCTGTGGACAGTGCAGTCTTCCGGACTTGCACTGTGACGGGACAGTTTGTCCAGGTGTCGCACAGCTGTGGCTCATCCATTTGCAATATGTCATTATAAGAGTGTCCGCGGAGCATGGTTCCAACATCCGCGAAACGATGAACCGGAAGTGCTCCACAACCCTGCTAGATACAGGAATCTGGGCCCTCTGCCCTGTCTTGACCCAGAGGGGGCGTGAGGGGAGCGGTAGAGTAACGGGAGGTCCTTCCCCAATCTCTCTCCTCCCCACACCAGGGTTTTGAAGGCGCCACCTGCAGCCACAAAGCTCCTTCCTGCGGCCTCCACCACTGCCACCACGGAGGCCTATGTCTGCCCTCCCCTAAGCCCGCCTTCCCACCCCGCTGTGCCTGCCTCAATGGTTTCGGGGGCCCTGACTGCCTGACCCCACCAGCTTCTCAAGGCTGTGGTCCCCCGTCCCCCTGCCTGCACAATGGAACCTGCTCAGAGACCCCTGGGCTGGGGGGCCCAGGCTTCCGGTGCTCCTGCCCCCCTGACTCTCCGGGGCCCCGGTGCCAGAAGCCTGGAGCCAAGGGCTGTGAGGGCAGAGGCGGAGACGGGGCCTGCGATGAGGGCTGCAGCGGCCCGGGAGGAAACTGGGACGGAGGAGACTGCTCCCTGGGGGTCCCAGACCCCTGGAAGGGCTGCCCCTCCCACTCCCAGTGCTGGCTTCTTTTCCGAGACGGACAGTGCCACCCACAGTGCGACTCTGAAGAGTGTCTGTTTGACGGATATGACTGTGAGCCCCCTCCAACCTGCACGTGAGCTGGAACCCACGGGGCGGGGCCACAGCCAGGGTTCCACCCTAACAACCACTGCTGAGTAGGCGTAGGAGGCTCTGGATTCCCACCCAGAGGAAGGGGGTGGCACCAATATTTCCTGGCGGTGCAACCTCCACCTGGGCTCCTGAGAATTCTGGGGGCTCTGGGGCGAGCCCCCCTCCCTAAGCCCTGTGGCCATGGACTGTCTTCCCCGCAGCCAGCACCTGGAGGGAAAGGGGCCTTGAGCTCTCCTGGGAGAGGCGAATTGGGAAGGCTGTAAGCGGGTGGCCTTGGGGAGACCGGTGTCAGTAGCCGTCAGTCCCTGGGCCACCACCCAGGGCTGCACCGCTGTCCTCACTTAGCAACCGGAGCCCTATCAGCCACAGGATATCAGGGATTGTCTCTGGGGTGCAGGGGGAGCCCAGCTCGGGGGTCGTGACTCCCCACTGCTCACCCCACAGTTCTGCCTATGACCAGTACTGCCGAGACCACTTCCACAACGGGCACTGCGAGAGGGGCTGCGACACCGCAGAATGCGGCTGGGATGGGGGCGACTGCAGGCCTCAAGAGGGGGACCCCGAGTGGGGCCCCTCCCTGGCCCTCCTGGTGGTGCTGAGCCCCCCGGCCCTGGACCAGCAGCTGCTTCACCTGGCCCGGGTGCTGTCCCTGACGCTGAGGGTGGGACTGTGGGTGAAGAAGGATGCGGAAGGCAGGGACATGGTGTTCCCCTACCCCGGGGCCCGGGCCCAGGAGGAGCTGAGCGGGCCTCGAGAGCCCTCTCCGGGGAGAGGAGCCCCTCAGCCCCAGCCCCCGGGGAAGGAGCAGGACTCCCTCAGCACCGGGTAAGGAGGGAAGGGGGCCAGAGGCTAGCTCCGTCAACAGGAGAGGGGCCAGGCTCGGCACAGAGCTCTCCAAGGCGTCTCCCTCCCCCAGGCTCGTGGTGGTGATGGGTGTGGATCTGTCCCGCTGCGGCCCCAAGCAGCCCGCAGCCCGCTGCCCCTGGGACCCTGGGCTCCTGCTCCGCTTCCTGGCTGCCATGGCCGGCGTGGGGGCCCTGGAGCCGCTGCTGCCCGGGCCGCTGCTGGCTGCCCGTCCAAACTCAGGCACAGGTAGGCGGCCTGCCCTCCCTTTCCTTTGTCCCATCAGCAAGACCACCAGAGACCAAATCTCTGGAGGAGCAGGGTGCTGGCGCCCGCGGCTGTGCAGACTCTCCCTCCTCAGCTCTCGCGCCCCTTTCTCCTCGCACCTCCTGGCCACTGGCTCTCCTCTTTCCCCTGATTTCCCTATGGACTTGTCCTGACCTCTGTCGTGGCCCCCCAAGAAATCCCGGGCTCCAGCTGACCTTCGCTAGACAAGGGTACCGGTTATCTCTGCCACACGGAACAGTAACTTAGGATCGTGCTTACTATACGCCTTGCTTCCGACATTTCACCACTGACTCATTTATTCCCGTATGACGGGTGATTATTACCGCTTCCCAGGTGGGGAAACTGAGGCAAAGAGAGGTTCCGTACTTGCCCGAGGGCCTCCTGAGAATAACCAGTCTCACCAAGAGTGGCCTTCACTGTCTCTCTCCCAGCAGCGCGCCCCGCTGACCAGCTCCCCTGGCCTGTGCTGTGCTCGCCCGTGGCCGGGGTGCTTCTCCTGGCCCTCGGGGCTCTTCTGGTCCTGCAGCTACTGCGGCGTCGCCGCCGAGAGCACGGCGCCCTCTGGCTGCCTCCCGGTTTCATCCGAAGGCCTCGGAAGCAGCAGGCTCCCCACCGCCGCAGGCCGCCCCTGGGCGAGGACAGCATCGGCCTCAAGTGAGAGTGAGGAGCGCGCAGGCTGGGGCGGGGAGCCTTTGCTGCCGGGATGGGATGCTCGAGGCCAGAAGCGCTCAGATGCGTTGCTGCAGAAGCTGAAAATAAGGGGAGCAGCAAGGTAGGGAGGCTGCTGAAACCTTGGAGATGCTCACTGATCTAACCTGGGTAGCCTCCACGCCCACCTCCCAGGTCGCTGAAGCCCGAGCCGGAAGCCGAGGAGGAGGAGGGAGTGGTGATGTGCGCAGGCCCGAAGGAGGGGGAGCAGGTAGGCAGCCAGGGAAGGGGCAGGCGGAACGGTAAGAAGTCGGTGGGGGGAAGGACAAGTAGGTGGCTCTGCTGATCCTTGCTTTTGCCCCAAGGCTGAAGAAACGGCCCCACCTCCCAAGCGCCACCTCTGGCCGCTGAGCTTCGGCTGTGGGGAGCTCCCTCAGGTAGCCATGCTGACCCCTCCTCAGGAATCTGAGGCCGAGGCCTCCGACGTGGACACCTTTGGACCTGGTACATGAGCCAACCCAGACCAAGAAGGGGAAACAGACCCTCCCTGTGGCCCTTTTTGAAGCAGACCTTCAGTGTTAGAACAGGGATATGTTGGTCCTTCAACAGTGGTTCTCGGAGTCTGGTCCTCAGCAGCACTGACATCACCTGGGAACTGTTAGACATGCACATTCTTGGGCTCCACTGTAGAGCTACAGTTCAGAAATTTGAGATATTGAGAAATGTTTTGTGGTTGGTTTTTGTTTTCAGTGCTGAGGAGCTAACCTAAAGCCTTCCCGCTGAGCTACATCCCCAGCCTTTTGTATTTACAATATTTTGAGTCTCACTAATTGGGATCCTCCTGCCTCAGCTTCCCAGAGTGCTGATTATAGGTGTGCACCAGCATGCCCGGCGGCAATCTGTTTTAAACCCTCCAGATAAGTTTAACCCAGACTCAAGTTTGAGAACCACTACTCTAGAGTGTTGAGGCCTTAATTCCTTTCACTGATGAAGAAACTAAAGCTCAAAGGAAAGCAGGAGTCATTGAGACCATGATCAGTCAGCTTCATGATACTTCAGCTGAGTGTCCATGTTCTCTCCCCCCTCCTGTGTCCTCCCAGTGACCTGTGACTCATTCTGACCCACAGATGGAGGGACACCCCTGATGTCAGCAGTCTGCTGTGGGGCAGTGGCGTCTAGGACCTTCCAGGGAACCTGGCTAGGAAGCCCTGAGCCCTGGGAACCTCTGCCAGATGGAGGCGCCTGTCCCCAGGCTCACCCCTCGGGCACCGGGGAGACACCCCTGCACCTGGCTGCCAGGTTCGCCCGGCCAACTGCTGCCCGCCGTCTCCTGGAGACCGGAGCCAACCCCAACCAGCCCGACCGGGCAGGGCGCACCCCACTCCACACTGCTGTGGCTGCAGACGCTCGGGAGGTCTGCCAGGTCAGCACGCACGGGGGTCCCTGGAGGGAACCGAGGAGCTCGCAAGTAAAACCGGGCAGAAGCATCCCAGGGGTTTGATAAGGAGGAAATTGACGAGACTGAGGACCTGAATAAGATGACTGAATATGGACGGGGGGTTAAAAATCTGAGGGACCCGAGTGCAGGGTACCCCAAGAGTCACAGCCCCTTTCTGTCTCCAGCTGCTGCTCAGCAGTCGGCAGACCGCAGTGGATGCTCGCACTGAAGATGGGACCACACCTTTGATGCTGGCCGCGCGGCTGGAGGTGGAAGACCTGGTGGAAGAACTGATTGCAGCCCGAGCAGACGTGGGAGCCAGAGATAAATGGGGTATGGGGGACGCCACAGAGCTGAGCCGATGGGGTGTGACAGGCGCGAAGCAGGACTGGGGAGGCTGGGGCGTCCCCTCCCACGCTGCTGTCACGGTGGCGACGATTCCCCGTCACTCTCAACAACACAAACACCGCCCAGCCCACAGGGAACTGGGGTGGAGGGGTCTCCCGGTCCCACCGAGCCCAGAACAATGCCCATTGTCCCTCTGCGCGCCAACGACGTCACCAGGGCAACGCTTCCGGCCGGCGGGCGGTCGCCAAGGCAACACTTCCCGCCTTTGAGGGACCGAGGAGCCCTTCGCCCAAGGCCCGAATCCGTGGGAACCCGGAACCCAGGTGCCTGGCCCCAGCCGCGGGGTAACCAGCTCCCATGCCCTCCCCTAGGGAAGACCGCGCTGCACTGGGCCGCCGCCGTGAACAACGCCCGGGCCGCCCGTTCGCTTCTACAAGCCGGAGCCGATAAGGACGCCCAGGACGGCCGGGTTAGACCGGGAAGCGGTGGGCCACAGAGAAGCCAGAAGCGGCAGACCGAAAGCGCGAGAACCCGCCAGGCTCCCGGGGCGGGGCCAGCGGCCGGTGGGCGGAGCCGTCCTTGGGCGTGGCCCTGATCCCGCCCCTGCTGTTCCTCCCGCACAGGAGCAGACGCCGCTGTTCCTGGCGGCCCGGGAAGGCGCGGTGCAGGTGGCCCAGCTGCTGCTCCGGCTAGGGGCGGCCCGCGAGCTACGGGACCACGCTGGACTGGCGCCAGGGGACATCGCCCGCCAGCGTAACCACTGGGATCTGCTGACGCTGCTGGAAGGGGCGGGGCCGGCGGAGGCGCGTCACAAAGCGGCGCCTGGCCGCGAAGCCGGGGCCTTCCCGCGCGCGCGCACCACCTCAGCGAGCGCGCCTCCGCGTAGGGGCGGGGCCTGTGCGCGCGCTCGGACTTTGTCCGGGGACTTGGCCGCGCGCAGGGGCGGGGCCTATCCTTGCGGCCGGAGCCCGTCGGGAGGAGGCGAGCCGGCCCGCGCCCGGAGGTTGTTTGCCGGCGTGCGCGGGCCGCGGCCCAGCCCTGCGGCGGTGCGGGGAAGACCCCGGGCCGCGGCGGATGACTGGCCCAGAGATTGGGTGACCCTGGGAGCCTGCGGCCCTGCCGCCGCCACTCCGGGCCCGCCCCCTTGTCTCACTCCTTCCCCGGAGCGGGGACCCCTCAAGTTGCCTGGGGTCTCCCTGTCCACCGAGTAAACTCCGGAAGAGGGTCACAAATAGGCTCCATGGAAGGGAGGAATTCTAAAAATCATTGCCCATTAAACGACAGATAATCTGGAAGGCCCTGGAGAATAAAGTCCAGCTCCAAAAGTGAGGGGTCCTCAGTTATATTTCCCTCCGGAAATCGGTGTTTGCCGACCAAAGAAGGTGTCCTCTTCCACGTAGAAAAACTGCAGCGCTGGAAAGAGTTCAGGATGCTGAGACGAGCCCCAGTTTCCCTCCTAGAAAACAGGATGAGAGGCTGCAGGACAAGTGACGTAAGAGGAGTATCCCTACGCTGGAACCAAGAACTGTAGCGGATAGGATCTAAGATGCTCTGTTCATCACATGGTTCCCAAAGGGAGCCTCTACCATCCATTGCCCCCACCGCGGCCACAAACCACTGACAAATATTGAGGACCTACTATGTGCGAGGCCCCGTAGGTGCTGAAGGGCAGCCAAAGGCCACTCCAGCTGATGACTCCTTGCTTTTCCCCTCCTCCACAAAGACACCACGACAGGGATGAAGCCCGCTGTTCTTTCTGGCCACCGCCATCTCTTATTTAAATACCCAAGTCTATCACCTGTAATAAGACTAATTTGAAGTGTCACCCTTTTTTTTGGAGGGGTGGGCAGAGAAATGGGAAAATACTGTATATGATAGTGACTGCACAGGTTTTGGAATGTAGTGCCCTAAACTCAGCATTTGAACCACAGCTGATAGTTAAAGAGCCAGAATAAGCAGATTTGGCGGTCCCACATTCACGTAGGGTAGCATCTCAAAAAATCTCTAGTAGTCCAAGGAGAAGCAACACATATGCTATGTCACGCACATGCTGTGTCCCCTGTCTGGGGGCACTTAGTTATAGCCTCTAGGAGATTCCTGAGGCCTCAAGTCAAGCTGAGAGAGTTGGAGAGAACAACTATGCACCTTTCAGTAACGGGAGAACACCTTGTCAATACCAATAGGTCCGAGGGGTGGAGGCATGATTTGAATGCCCATAATATCATTATTGAGCCTTCACCATGAGCCAAGTGCTTTATTACAGTTAACCCTCATATCTACTCCACAAGGTAGCCGCTATTAAAAACCCCACTTTTTCAAAACCTGAGGCACCAAGATTTTACTAGGCCAAGATTGCAGGGCATCAAGTGGCAGAACCAGGTCTCTTCATCGCATTTCATGCTCCAAGCCATTCAGCTGTCAACCTCCTAACATGGTAAGTGCCCGTTTAAAGATCCCAGAAGCCTATCCTGTTCCCTCAGTGCCAACCAGCCCGACTACCATCAATGAAAGACCACACCGTGGAGGTAACCCTCTGCCTTTTCCATTTCCATATCCCTCCCTCATAGCCAAAGGAATGTTTTCCCCTGGCCATTGTCTGTACTAAGCTGTGAGTTGAGAGGATATATCCTGTCCCATTCTCTCACATTCGGGGCACATCCATCCCTAGATAGACTATAAATAGTATAGATAGCTAAGTTAGGTAAAAATATTACAGGCAATCAGACAGGGCTAGGTCCTCAAGAGAGTCAGGACAAAAGATGAATACAACTGTGGCTGAAGGCATATCTGTCGAAGGCCAGGCCTCAAGATAAAACCAGAGTGACCAGGCCTATATGCCTCCCCAGGGGAAAATCGATAAATTGAAGATTATACTATAACTGGTATCACCTGGCTCAATAAAATCTACATAGACATCAGTCACCCAGGTGGGTGACCAGGCCCTCCTGATCCATCCCTTCCTAAAAAGTTCTTTGTTCTTTCCATGTACACTTGCTACATGACCTGTTTCCCCATTGGGTCAATATTACCTAATCGGCTATACTTATCTTATTGGTTGATCATAGATTTGACCCACATTGTACCCACCTCATGATTTTGCACCCACTTCGTGATTCTGCTTTATAAAACTTCATCTGTGAAGTGGGGTCCATGGCAACCCACCTTCAGGTCCCTTCTTGTCTCTCAGGAGCTATCTCTATCTCAATAAATTTTTCTACTCTTAACCTCCATTCCTTAGAATTCATTCACTGATTTCAGAGAACATGGGCTAGGCGTATATGACATCTAGCAGGTTGGGAGTTGAGTTGTGTTATTTCCCCTATACATAAACACCTAGAGGACAGGGATATCCAACGCGTAGTCTGTGAACACTTGCTCTGTGCTGGATCCAGTGGTAGGCTATGTGTGCATTTGAAAGTGCTACCTCCTGAGCTCTCTGCTTCCCCTGGACCCATGCCCCTCCCAGGCCCAGTAAGTCAGAAGGAAGCCAAATCCTCCAGCAGGGTCTATCTTAGGGAAGGAAGGGACCTGGTTTGGGGGAGGAGGATCCTAAAGAGTGAAACCACTTCCTGTGCAAAGCTAGTTCCTGTGTTGACAGAGCTGAAGGGGAGGCAGGGGTGGAGAGAGCAGAGGTGGGGATTGGGGGTACTGGGAATCCATAGATGAGAAGGCTGGAGTCTTTTTCCACCAGGAGCCCTCTCCACTCCTGCAGCTGGAGTTTCTCCCAGTCTCTGTGCTCCCCTGGGGCAAGAAAGGTCAAACAAACTGTTTGGGTGGGAAAAGAGAATGGAGGAAGTTGACAGAGATGGGCGGGGCTCTTGGGGGGGCTGACCAGGAACCCAGCTTCCTGCTCAGTACCCAGGCATCCAGGCCCCCAAGCTCACCCCCACCCCTTCCAGCCCCACTCCCCTCAGGAACCCAGGGTTCCCGCCCTCCCCCACCAGTTTCTCCCCACCGGGGGATGGAGACGGAGAGACCCCAGGAAGAGGCTGGTGAGCAGGTGAGCTGGGTACCGGGTGGGGAGGGTTGGGGTTAGAGAAGGGACTTGTGGGGCTTCAGGGTGCAGACCTAGTGACAGTAGACACAGGGGACTCGGAAGGGCTTGGGCACACTAAGGCAAGCCCAGAAACAGAGGAAATGGGGCACCGGCCTAGCCGTCCGCCCACCCCACCCCTGCCTGACTGGAACTGACTTCTCGGTATCAGGGACGCCCTCAGGATGAGCAGAGCTGGCCCCCTCTGAGCTCTACCACTCGGCCTTGGAGATCAGCTCCGCCGTCCCCTCCTCCTCCAGGGACCGGCCGCACAGGTACCTCTGCCCCTTAGGGAGCCCTGGTCCGGGTGCCCACATCCTCACCCCACCATCGGGGCTGCTCCACCTGCGGGACCTCTCCCCACCTGCTCCAGGCTCCCCACCGTAAGGCCCTAACCCCTCAAACCACCACCTCACAGCTCTGTCTGCCAGCTTCTCCAGGTGTGAGCCCTCCTTCCTCCTCTCCCCAGCCCTGGGGCCCCGCTCGGCCTCCCTGCTGTCCCTGCAGACTGAGCTCCTCCTGGACCTGGTAGCCGAGGCCCAGTCTCGTCGCCTAGAGGAGCAGAGAGCCACCTTCCACGCTCCCCAGAACCCCCCAAGCCCAGCTACAGCCCCGGCCCGGCCCCTGGAGGAAAGAGAACAGCTCTACAGCACCATCCTCAGTCACCAGGTGAGACCCAGGGGCAAGGCCCAGGCCTCCTGACCTCTTGGGGCCTGGGCCTCTGGCCCAACACCACCCCAGTCCCATCCCCACCTCGAGGTGTCCTGCCTGCCCCCGCACCAACCTGGCTCCTGTCCCAAGGGCTCCTCCTCGCAGAGCTTACCAATGCTCTCCTCTCCCTCCATTCCTCAGTGCCAGCGGATGGAAGCCCAGAGATCAGAGCCTCCCCTACCCCCAGGAGGCCAGGAGCTCCTGGAGTTGCTGCTGAGAGTTCAGGGTGGGGGGCGAATGGAGGAGCAAAGATCCCGCCCCCCCACACACACCTGCTGAGACTCAGCCCCCAGCCGGCCCCTCCTCCCTCCCGGGGCTCAAAGCCAGGCCGTCCACTGCTCGCCCTTCACCCTGCTTGGCAGGGGTACCAGGGACGGACACTGAAACCGCAGAAGAAATCGGAAGCTTCGTGGGCCTCGGCACATTCCTGGGGCTGGGGGGGGTGGGGGAGGGTGGCAGAAAGTCCTCACACCCTGGGAACAGGCAGGTAGGAAGGTCACTGAACTCCCTCCGCTCGCTTGCTCGCTCGTGTGCCAGAGCAAGAGTCCGCAGAGACCCGGCAAGGGAGCTCCGCGAAAGGCTGGGAGTCTGACCTCCCGGTGTCAAGCTTGGAGGCAGGGTGTGATTGAGCGCTCAGGATCGCGAGAAACGCAGGCAGATCTCCCGAGGGAGGCTACGACCTATGAGGCAGCGCTACGCTCCTTCCCAGTGAGAAGGGAGGCCGCGCACCACGGACATCAGGCCTCCGGCGCCCCGCATCCGGCCGAGGGCCTGGCGGCTGCTCACCCTGCCTGCCTCCCACTGCTGCTCCGAGCCCGTCTGAACGAAGTCTGGGTTGCACGAATAAATGTGATTACTCTCCGGCCTGAGGACTGCTGGTGTCTGGGGGTGCTGCGGGGCGGGCAGGAAGGTGAGGCTGGAGGCCGGGCTTCCCCAGGCTGGCCAGAGGCCAGCTCCCCTCCCCGGCTGGTTAATTACTGGCTCATTAAGCAGCGGCTGGAGACCTCCCTAATTATCTTCCCCAGCCCCCCTCTCCTAGCTTTAATTAAGTAGAACTGGGAGGGGAGTCATTAGAACAAGAAATATGAACTGTGCTGTGTGTGAACCCAGGCGTCCCAGCGGCCAGGGTCCGCGGCACCGAGACCGGATATACAACCCGGGCGGCGGCCGGTGGCTCCTCCGGCCCGGGCGGCGCCCCTCCCCTCCCCTCCCCCACGCGGCGGGGCAGTGGCTGCGCGGCCGCCCGG